TTCGTGGATGGCGTCAAAAAATTGCACCCCACCTCGGATCCAACTTTTTTTGTGGCTGACCTCTACGACGCCCAGAAGGTGTGAATACATTGTCGGTTCAAAAATATGGAGTTAAGGGTGTTGCTTAGCCATACTGCCTTTGATTCCAATCTGCAGACTAATGTGAGGTTATTTGTTCGACTCTGAAATATGAGCGTTAGTTTGTTTTCTGTAGAAACTGGAGGAAATTTGCAATCCGATAATTTTGAAGCCAAAGCCGGCTCCTCCTCCACCACCACCGAAGCCTGCATCTCCTGAGTCCGACAAAACTACTAGCTTTCCCGACGGTGGTGAGGCATTTGAATTGAAACCTGCTACTATTGTTGTTACTGGTGGTGAGGTCATGGACGTGGAGTAGACCTCTACGTCTGTATCCCATCGAATATATTCCATGACCAAAGTGTTGCTGCCACTGCGGTTGCTGATTCTTGCTTTCAATCATTGCACTCGTCTGATGCTACGTGAAGAAAACAGTTTAGTACCCGTTCTCATCCATGATATTTCCTTCGGTAATACTTTTTATTGTTGCCAATGTGTGTGCGCACTCGATGTTGTTGGAACCACTGAGGTTGTTTCTGTGGCTACTTCCTACCATTTGGGTTGGGTGAGACGCTATTAAATGGCAACATGTGTTTGTGTGCTCGTTGTGGTGGCAGTTTTGTCTTCTGCCTAATCCTGTTCTGTGACAGGTGAAGGTGGACCAAGTAGTGGGGTAACGTTGGCGCACTCGCGATGGCGGTGTGCTGTGTACGTCTACACCCTGCCAAGATGCAGGCGAACGGGTCAATGGTGGTGCAATTGGGCTTCCTGCCGTTGGGTATCAGACTGCACTTTCACACCAATGAGTGTTGCTTAAATGTGTGTTCCCCATTCTCAACTTAAAGCGCGTTTTTGCTTGCATTCAAGTAGTGGTATTTAGTAGATCCATGTTTTGTAATTTTCTGTTTTGCCTAGAGCAGTTGTTTGCAGGCTGGCTTTTAGGTTGGTTTGCATTAACACTTGTTGGGAATTACATTCACGCTTTTGTTTTTAATAGTGTGAACTTATTTTGTATTCTAATGTTCAAACATATTCTATCCAAATGATGGATTTTTGGTCAGTAGGAAATTGAAATAGAAGATGATCTTATGTTTTAGATATTCATGAAATGGCGCTGTTGAAACGCAAAATGAAAGAGATTGAGAAATTGCTGGGAGAAAAAGTCCTGGTAGGTGCGCCGATTAGAGTGCTCTTTCAGCTGTCCCTCCCCTACCACAAATCACGAGAGGCTGTAAAGAGCCGCGTAGACGAGCGAGCTTTTTACTTGATCGCGCTGAATTAAACCTCATACTTTTGTAGGAACTGGACAGAGCAGAAGAACGAGTAGCATCACTGAAGGCCGAGCATAAGCGAAATGTGTACGAGACTACGGAGGCGAAAGTGAAGCTTGAGACCGAGTTGACAAACATGAAGAGTGATCTTGCCAAAGCCCGCACTTTTGCCCAACGCGCAGAGCGAATGGCCATGCAAGCGAATCATGAGAAGGAGGCACAGGTTTGACTGCTTGCTTTTGTTGGAGACAGCCTCAAGCATCC